GTGTAAGCTCTCGATGTCTCTTCAAGCATCTAGCCACGCAACTCCCAACGGTCTACATGGATGGATACCTCATGGACCCCTGATCGTGAACATTATATGCCAGTATGCCACGATGAAGGATGACAACAGAAGACCAGCCATGGCATACTTGTTCTAGGACACACTCACATCCATATCAACCCCCTCAACCGAACGGAGGTATTTACCAAACTTGGGTTGCCTCCCCCCTGAGCACACTCCAAACAAACGCGGCACTCCAAACAAACACACAAACAAAAAAACAAACAGGTCTCTCCGCCGCCAGGCGCCTGTCACGAATCAAGCTGCCCGACTTCTCAATTCACTGCGCTGGCCAACGAATTTAGCAAATGGTAGCTAAAAATAATAATCAAACCTAGTTTCAAAGCTAAAAAGAAAACATCAATGAGAAAAGGCCCAAGTGCGGGCTGTGACAACATCCTCTTCAGTAACGCTTGAAGTGTGAGTTGTGCTCAACATCAATCAGTAAAGGTTCAAGCGTGATTAAGCGGGAGTATAATCAATTGTGCCTGCATGCGTGCAGCGGCTGTGGATGCAAGTGTGCTCATTAAAACTTGTGCCAGCATGCTTGAAACGGTGGTGGATGCGCGCGAGCGTATGTGTTATCACTTGTGCCAGCGTGCAGCAGTTGTGGATGCGCATGAGCGTGTGTATTACAGTGATGTGTATTATCACTGGCGCCGGCATCCGTGCATGCGCGTGGGCGTGTTTGTTATCCCTCGTGCCACGGTTCGGGATGCGCATGGGCGTGTGCATTATCACTTAATCCAGCATGAATGCAGCGGCTGTGCCAACATGCGTTTGTGGACGCGCGTGAGCGTGCGAATTATCACTTGTGCCAGCATGCCTGCAGCGGTGTGGATGTGCCTGGGCGTTTATATTTCACTTGTGCCAGCATGAGTGCAGCGGTTGTGAATGCGCGTGACAATGTGTGGCACTTACGCCAGCATGTGTGCGTCGGTTGTGGACGTGCGTGAGTGCGTGCATTCTCACCTGTGCCAGCATGCGTGCAGCAGTTGCGGATGCGCGCAAGCGTGTGAATTATCGCTTGTGCAGCTGATGCTCATGTGTAAAGCTCCGAGCACCGAGAAAGTTTCAATAATCCTGAGAAATGCGCTGAACAAAACCGGGCGCCTGGCGGCGGTGCCAGCAACAAACAACCAACCAAAGAAACAAACAAACGAACGAACAAACGCCAAAAACAAAAACAAACAAACTAAGTAACCAAGCAACGAAGCAAACAATCATAAGTAAACAAGTACACAAGCAAGCAAACAAGCAAACAAACAAACAAAGACGCAAGCAAACCAAAAATCACAAAAACAGCCAACCCAAACAAGCGAACAAACACACAAACAAAACAAACAAACAAACAAAAAACACGTAGTTTCCGCCTTTGACTGGATATTCGGGAAATCGTAGCACTTTTTGCAGCAAAAACCTGAAACTCCTGAAACTTCTAAAAAACACACTATTGCAACGCTCGCGGCCTTTGACAGATTCAAGGAAGCTTTGCAGGGGCAAAGAGCTTGATGCAGCCCGCAAGTTTGTCAAATCATGCAACGGCAGTCCAAAGTTGTGCGGTGCAGAAAAAACGTACCCATTTTGACCGCAAAACGCCCGCAAATTTCCGCAAATCTCCCGCAAAAACCCGCAAACTCCCGCAAATCAGAAAAGTCGTAGTGTTGAATGATCAAGGGATTTAATGGTGTTCACTGGCACATTGGCAAGTGCAGCGAGGTTTATTTGCCTGTATGGCCAATGCGCGACTGGAAACGACGCAAATCGTATGTGTTTTTTTGCCGCGATTGTAGCTAAAAAACTGGAATTCGGTAAATCGCAGGGGTCTCCTAATACACCCAGAAATTTCCCGGAGATTGAAGGTCCGGGCAGAAACAAAAAAACAAAAACAAAAAACAACCAAACAAACAAACAAGCAAACGCCCAAACACACAACCAAACAAACAAGCAACTAAACCAAACCAAACAACCAAACAAACAAAGCAAGCACCCAACCAAACAAGCAACCGACCGAGCAATCAACCAACCAACCAACAAAACAACAAACAAACAAATAGGCAAACAAGTAAGCAAACAAGCAAGCAAACAAGCAAACCAGCAAACGAGCAAACAAACAAACAAACAAACAAACAAACAAACAAACAAACAAACAAAACAAACAAACAAACAAACACAAAAACAACACACAAACAAGGAAAGAAACAAGCAAACTACCAAACCAGCACGCATACAAACCAACACACAAACACGCAAGCAACCAAGCAAGCAAGCAAGCAAGCAAGCAAGCAAGCAAGCAAGCAAACAAACAAGCAAACAAACAAAAAACACAAACAAACAAAACAAGAAACCAAACAAACCAACAAACCAAACAAACCAACGCACAATCACGCAAGCAAGCAAACAAACAGAAAAACAAACAAGCGAACAAACAAACAAACAAACAAACAAGCAAACAAATAAACCAGCACGCAAACAAACCAACACACAAACACACAAGCAAACAAGCAAGCAAGCAAGCAAACAAGCAAGCCAGGTAAACAAACAAGCAAACAAATACACAAACACACCAAGAAACCAGACAAACCAACACGCAATCGCGCAAGCAAACAAACAAGCGAACAAACAAACAAACAAACAAATAACAACACAAACAAACCGACAAACCGACAAACATGCAAACAAACAACCAAATAAACAAAAAAAGCAAGCAAACAAACAAACACACGAACACACAAGCAAACAAGCAAACAACCGAACCAGCACGCAAACAAACCAACACACAAACACACAAGCGACCAAGCAAGCAAGCAAGCAAGCAAGCAAGCAAGCAAGCAAGCAAGCAAGCTAACAAACAAGCAAACAAACAACAAAAACAAACAGACAAACCAAGAAACCAAACAAACCAAACAAACCAACGCACAATCACGCAAGCAAGCAAACAAACAGAAAAACAAACAAGCGAACAAACAAACAAACAAACAAGCAAACAAACAAACCAGCACGCAAACAAACCAACACACGCAAACACACAAGCAAACAAACAAGCAAGCAAACAAGCAAGCCAGGTCAACAAACAAGCAAACAAATACACAAACACACCAAGAAACCAAACAAACCAACACGCAATCGCGCAAGGAAACAAACAAGCGAACAAACAAACCAACAAACCGACAAACAAGCAAACAAGCAAACAACCGAACCAGCACGCAAACAAACCAACACACAAACACATAAGCAAACAAGCAAGCAAGCAAGCAGACAAACAGGCAAACAAACAAGCTAACAAACACACACACACACCAAGAAACCAAACAAACCAACGCGCAATCGCGCAAGCAAACAAACAAACAAACAAACAAACAAACAAACAAACAAACCAAGAAACCAAACAAACCAACGCGCAATCACGCAAGCAAACAAACGAACAAACGCTGAAACAAACAAACCAGCAAGAAAGCAAGAAAGCAAGCAAGCAAGCAAATCAACAAACACACCCGCGGACTCACACGCCTGGACGACGTATTCGGTCGTGAGCTCCCTCAGCTCCTGACCCGACGATTGCGCTGCATCGAGAAGTTGGACCAACTCTGTGCGCGAATTTGCGTTCTTTTGGTTTCTGCTCGCATTTAGTCAATAGCATGCGTGATGAAAGCCCCAATAAGGCATTCCTAGCTCCGGATATTGATGTGCGAAAATGTGTGTATATATATATACATGTCTATTGGGAGGGGGTTTGTGGAGCCTGCGTTTTGGCAGTCAGTGTGCCAGCAGATAATTTGGCACTTTGTGGGGGGTATGTCGGGCCAATTCAATGTTCATATAGACCTCGTCTGGCTAAATAATCCAACTTCTGATTTCCTATGAGCGCACCGACCTACCCCATGCTGACAAGAAGGCGCATGTCTTTGCTATCCAGGCCCAACGCTGCAAATCCGCACTTTTGATTCCAGTAGCTTTGGTTCTTCAGTTTAATGTTAAAATCCTTGTCAAGGATTCACTTCGGGCAGGGTAAGTCTGGCTTTGATATTGGAGGCATGGGCAGTGTTGCGGCCTCTTTGGGCGCGCTCAGCGGCTGCCGCTTTAGCAGCCTGCGCCCCTTCCGTTGGACACCCCGCGTCCAGATTGAATGTGTCTTCGCAAAATGCACGTGGAAAAACAACGTGTACGTGTTTAAGGGGAGCACCTTAGTATTGGACCATACACCATGGAGGGGCACTTCAGATGAGCCTAGATCACATAACTGACTCATTCATGATTCAGTGTTGGAGTTTGTCCAAGTCTGGTTCATACACTCTTAACTGTTGGGAAAGGGGAGGGGGGGCGATTGAAATCTTGACGGGGGCTGGAGTGTCAAAGAATCCCCGACCCCCCGTTACGGAGCCACGCCCCCCCCCCTTGCAAGCAAGCAACAAGCCCCTCCCCCCACGTGGAAGCAGAAGCGCGCAGCAAAGCAGAAAGCCACTTTCCAACAAGAATGGTGGCCCGCCCTGGCGACCATCTAGCCAAACCCCACCCCCTGTGGGGATATATATATATATATATATGTACGCTGGCCTTAAACTAAAAACCCTGCGTTGGGTGTGTAAACCCGAACGCAACCTGTTCAAATGCAGAAAGCACCGCGTTTTACCGCATTGTGATGGAAAAATCGCGGGTGCGAAGCCTCCGGTTTCGGAGCCCTCCAAAATGTCCGGCGACTACTTCCTTTCCAATGGACTTTTGAACAGAATTTCGTAAGGACATTCTTCAACGAAATTTGTATGTTCGAATGTAAACAGGAGTTCCTTTCCACATAAGAGTCAAAGGAAAGAGCTCAATTTGCCTTTGAACATAGTTGTGCATTCCCAAATGTATTTAGATCAAATGTGGCTAGCAAAATAATTGTATCTTTGTATATAAGGGAAACAGTGAAGCCAGAACTCCGATTTTAAACTAGAGCTTAAACAAATTCCTTTGCACACATTGTTTTAATAAAATCTCAATGATAATTTTGAATAGAATCTAATGAGGAAAGATTCCAATCACAACGCCCATGTAGAATTCGCATTCCTTTCGAAATAGGCTATTACCGTTGTTTACACTATGGACCTTGTGGTCTGGAGTCCCGTGTGCGCAGGCTTCAGAGCTCCAAGCTGCAAACAGGCAATGCTGTTGCCATGTGTGCCCGAAGCCATCACAAGACCAATTGTTCAACCAAAGCCATACTTGAATCCAAAGAACGGCATCTGTTTTTGACGTGATTCCTTTCAATCCTCAACAGACGAAACGCCTGCTACCATAATTAGAGAAGGTACACATTCATCAAAACCCCTCTATTTTGTGGTGCTTCCACGCATGTGGAAAAAAGAGAAGTGCAGAGTAGATATGACGCTATCCAACAAGTGGTGAGAGGTAGTGCCTGCCCCCCGCCACCCACGTTTTTGGTTCTGGGTAAGACGTCAATTGAAACAAAGCAAACCTTGGTATTGGGAGGGGGTCTTAGCATACATATATATAATATATTATTATATATATATATATAATATAACTATATGATATATGCATGTATGGGGTTGATGTGCGACAACCCTTCCGAAATTGTGGCCTGCCCCATGTGTGCATAACAACGTCAAGTGTTTCAGCACGTCAACTCTGGCATGTGAGCATGTCTGCAAAACGAGGCAACCACAAACCTCTGCTGGTGGGGGTGGGGACTTGGACTGAGCCTCTGGACAACGAACGCCTTTCACCTGTGCCAATGTTTCTACTTGCAGCACATCCGAAAGGGTGCATGGTTGTGGCATGCGTGAGGCTCGGAACCCTTTTTGAGCCGTGGGACATCAAGAGAAAGCCCTGGATTTTGAAGCGAGTCTTCTCATATTGGCCGTCAATCCACAGAGTCAAAGTTGCTTATTTTCCCTCAAGGCATGCACAAATGCTGGAAAACCACGACCCCTCAAAATGCCTAGTTTTCCCTTAAACCAACCAAAACGGGGTGGGAATCCCATTTTTTAGAAGCATGGCCCTTCATGCGAAACCTCGGCGAAACGAGGAACACGTCCTGGAGCGCCACATACCGGGAGGCGACCTTCCTCGAAAACCAGTCTGCAGAAATCGAACCCGAGTTGCTTACTACCTGGACCCTCAAACTACCCGTAAAAGAGAGATTTCACCCCAGAATCGCGGGGCAATGCCCAATTTTCAGAGAATTTTGAGAGTGTTGGTAACTACTTTTCCCTCCTGCAAATAAACGTGGACCACCAAAAACCAGCACCCCCCCAAACATTTTTTGTATTTTCCGCATGTCCAACATCCACAGTATGGCCAAAGAGCAGTGAATGGGCGGGTGCTGGTAGATCGACTACGGGTCCACCACTGTAGATCCACTACTGTAGATCGACCACGCGTCCTTGTTGGTCCCCTTCAATTGTGAAGGTGTTACCATTGGTGTCCTTTAGGGGGAAATAGATGGCCCTGGTAGATGATTAAACCACCAGGTAAACCAGGGCCATCTATTTTTCTAGCAAAACAACCAAAAAGGACGCCTATGGGTGTTGCTATTATTATTGTCAGCTATGTGACCCAGGTGGTCAACTTAGGCCAAACAACTCGGCTGTCCCCTGCTCAAAGTTGAACTTTTAGTGGGTTGCATGGAAACCCAACCACTAAACCCCAAAACGCTGAAAAGCTAAGCAACCGGATGGGCGGCACCCGCCACGAAAATTGGTGCTCCCCAATGCTTGACCCCTTGACCCTGGTCGGTGTTCGGAGTAAGGGTTCGGGAACTTTTCTCACCGAGCTGCTGAATCCATGTGACCAGGGCGAGCATGAGGAAGAAGATGCCGATGATTGCCAGAAAGAGGATCACCACAAGGATCTGTCGCGCGAAGGTCTCTGGAACTTGAGCTAGCGAACTTGAGGTACCCTTGAGATCTCCTGTTCAACCTGCGCGAAGGCGTTGCCTTGCGATTCTGAATGGTGGAAGGCTCACACACGCCTCTCGCAAGGATATTCAAAGTTGACTCCATTGCAGGTTCAACCCAAGGGCCTACCTTCCGTTGTATTCCTTGTCCTGGGCGCCGCAGAATTAGTGAATTGAAAAAAAGCAATCATCGGCATTTTTGTAGGATCCCGGATCTAGAGTCTAGTATAGATTCGCCAGCTTTCCCCGACCACACCCCATAAATGGCCATTGGGTCCCTGAAACAAGCTGCGCAGATCCTTAAAGTTGGAAAGAAGCAAAGCTGAGCGACGATGGCAATCACAGTGCCGCCGATGTTGTTGGAGTCGTCGCCACTGCTACCTGACGATGCGGCAAGCAACCCGATGCAGCCATTGGGCCCCTCTCATTGAGGAAATCACACCTTCTGGCTTCAACAAACACACAGCGCCGAACCACCAAAGGTGCAAAGAAACAAAGGGGAAATTAAGTAAACACAGAAACGAAGAAAGAAAACTAGCGTAAGGAAAGAAATAAAGAAAGAAACACAAACATAAAGAACGTAAATAATACATAAAGAGACAATGCAACAACAAAATAAATCAGTAAAGAATGAAAGACAGATAACCAACATGAAGACAAACAGGAAACACCGAAAGAGCAACATAATACGAAATAGTGAAATAAATGCAGAAACAATGACAGAAAGAAAGAACCACACACACAACAACAAAAAACAAAAAACAAAGAGTTCGCTAGACCGTGCGGCCGGTGCTTGGTTGGCGTCCCTTTGCTCGTGTCCAAAACCTGCAACCACAACCTGAGAGCCGAGGCTCGCGGTTTCAGTGGCAAAGCTTACGGCAGATGCTCCCCCTCTGCCTTGATTCTTGATTTCCCAAAAAGTCAAGTCTAAAGATCCAACCCGATAGCAATCACGTACTCAAAGAGCCACTCGAAGAGGCACTCCGTACGCATTGGCGTGCAAACACACGCATCACACAATGTTTGGGCCGCAGGAAAGCGGCGACATAAATTGAAAGAGCAAAGAACTGGACAAGGAGGCCAGGTGAGATCACGCATCGCGGGTGGAAAAAAAAGGATCTGCCGTGCTCGTGTCTTACATTGAAACTGCGGAACACCTACACACCTCGGCTTCGTTGCATGCAGTGGCTTTCCCAGCAAACCGGAATGGGGAGAAACACCTGCTTGGCTGAATAGTCAGATGCCTCAGTCCAAGAACCTGACACAGTAACAGTTGAAGTGCTTTTGTCGAACTCTCGTACGCAAGCCTTCTGACGACACCCCCACCCACCCACCCCCCAAACACCGCGGCAAAAGAACCCAAAGAAAAACAAACGTGGTTTGTCTTGATTGAAGCTTGTTTGGCACTGATTCGGCTCATCAATCTCCCGGTTTGGAGGACACACACCATGCTGCAAACCACAAGGATCGGACCCTGATCTTCAAGTCTTCCAGCATTTGCAACTATAGCCGTCGCGAATGCTTTGATGCATTCTTGCTGCCACATGCTCCCAGGCGTTCAATCTAGGCGCTTGAGAGACGCAACAAAAACAACAAGGAATTGGCCTCATGCCTTCAACACACTTCGTCCTTGGCTCAGTTGAAGAGCTCTGAGCCCGAGCCAAACGGCGCAAATGGGGTCTGCCCTTCCAATTGGTTTCACACATCGAGGAATCCGTGGCTTGCACCTGGCGGCACGAAAGAAAGTTGCCTCCGAGGTGGGCGTTGTCCATGCAGCGGCTGCAGTCACAGCAGTCCAGTGAGACGTGGTTGATGGACCTGCCAGCGGCGTTCTCAAATCTGTCGGCATGGACTCTTGCGCCGAATTGTTGTCTTGCACGAGCTGAAAAGCGAGCATTGAGGCTTACGCGAATCACCACGACGCGTAAGCCGCTGCACTTGCGCAATGGCAGTTACGCGTTGCAAACGCCACCAATCGCAATGCAACGTGGTTTTGAGCCCTGCGGCCAAAGGCAGAGCCAGGCGCAACCCCCTACAAGAACTGTGAGACTTGCCGGATTCAAGGAGAAACACGCCTGGCCGCTGAACTTGCAATCAGAAGTCAAGCAACTTGTCAGCTTATCCCAGCTGCACAAGGCTTACCAGAATGCTTGGCTCATCGTGGTTTGCATTTACCACCCACGAAACTCGGTGGGAAAGGCCCACATGTGAAAACTCAACAACAGCGCATTTCTGCCCAAAGGCCGAAGAGCAATATTCGCTGTGATCCCAAAGCACCCCTCCGGCGACGTTCGAGCTCGTTGGTTCTGGGGTACTAACAACTAATTGGTGGTTATCCTTTTGCTTTCCCTTTCAACTAACCCCAAACAAGGCATCCCAAAACAAGTATCAGTACATATATATATATATATAACGTCAGTCCAGTTCTCTGTCTATCTGTTGAAACAACTCCTCAAAAAGGGTTGCTCCGGAGACCGATCCTGGAAAGGGAACACCAAAGGATTTAATACCAATGTTCTACCGCGGGCGGTTTGCTCACCCTTAGGATCGGACCTTTAGGGCAGCCCCAGTAGCGCTCGCGCAAACACAGAACGCGGACATGTTTGCAACCCTAAACATGACGAGAGGTTGGGCCTTGGCCCACCGAGGCGCTTTTGGTTCACGCCAACAACCTTTGGAGGGTGCCCGCATCGTTTCGAACGTCCGGATCCCTGGTCTTTGGCGGATGGTGTCATTGCGTGCCGCCTAAACGTAGTTCCCAACTTGGCTGGAATTCGGACCCCAGCCAACAAAAAAAAAAGAAAAAGAAGAAGCCTGGTTCGTGGAAACAAGAAGGACCCCGAAAAAGAAAGAAAAAAAAGGGAACGAATTCTGGGGAAGCCACAGGAGGTGCCCCACACCTTGGGCAACCCGAGACGAGACGAACCCTCGCTGAGGCCCCAGCCCCACAGGCCCGTTGTAGCGGCAGCAGGCACGGCAGCCTCAGGTGTCCATGGGATAAAAATTGCCAATGCAACCATGGAGTAAGCCGACAATGGTGTTTTATGCCGAACTCAACATGATTAGACTTCGGCCCAGCTATAGAATGTATATTCCATTGTTTGCTTCCCTTTGAGTCGCTGGTAAAATGTAAAATGTATCCTAAGTCTACCCCAGTCCAGTTACCAACCAAGTGTAATCTTGTTTTTTTTTGTTTTTCACTTACTACATAGGTTGAGCATTCAAGTAGCTAAATCAATGCTGAAAATAAAACTCACCAAAAGACAACCCTAAGCTAAAACCTGCAGCAACCCCATCGAAACCAACCTCGCAACAACGCCTAAAACAACCCAAAAAAAACAACTCTCAGCCTTGGACCACAGGGCTACCGTGGGGGTTCCTGCCTGCACTGCTGTGTCGTACAATTATATATTAATTATATACATCGTACACATATGCACGCATATATAATGTAGATATGATATGAGTCACAATCACAACCTGGTACTAGAATCGTCCACCCAAAACCATGTAAAAATGAAGAGGGCGGCCGCAACTACTCATGTGTTGTGACCTTCCCTTACCAACCGCAACCTACCTCGGGTTTTGAGCACGTGACTCGCATGGCTGTCAGATGTAGGTCCAAAGCCCAGTTCTGAGGCCGCGGCAGTCACTGCAGCAGCGCGCTTGAAGATAGGTGTGCTGAGGGTCATCCAAGATGGGCTCGCAGCAGAACTCCCAGTAAGTGTCGCCGACTCTTCGGACATCTCGGCGCATGGCGAAATTCTGAATTTCGACTCTGGATGTGGAAGGACTTTCCGACCCGGAAGTCAGAAGACCCAAACCAATCTATGCCAGCTCGGTCGAAAAGTCTCATGGCTCTTGGGCTCACCATCCTCCCGAGCAGAGGGCTCCTGAGCCGATTTCCAGCAACTGAAGCTTCCCAGTTTCGCCATCTCATATTCACAGCCACATGCGTCAACCCAAAACGAACAACTTCTACATCTCTGTGGCTTCTTGTGTTGTCAGAAAGGTATCAGCCATATCTTCGGTCTGTCAATTTCCCACTCCCCCAATTCTGGGGCAACTCCGAAAAACGAGCCACCTCTTAGGACCCCCTTGATTCCATCAAGGCTCGGGGATTGAGCTCCCGCGCAGGCGTCGTCGCTCTTCGGCAGCATGAGAGACAGCTGACCAGCCACAGCACCAGGATCCCCAGCCCCAGCATGGCCGCGGAGAGCACGCAGGAAGCCTGTCGACAACTCAACACCCACAAGGACCGGGGCCGGGAGGTTCAGTGGAAAAAACGCTTTGGTGGACATCAGGCAACCACTTGCCAAATGCTGCCCTGTTCCCTTAGAAAAACAAAAACAAAACAAAAAAGCATTGCCATTTACATCCGTTTGGACAAACGGATGACACTCAAAAATCATAAGAAAGCTAGCACAAAAGCAAAGGTCCAGCAAACCGAGCGAAGCTTTTCTTGTGCTTCGTCTTTCTTAAACAAAAAAAGAACAAGCACAACTTCAGCATTCGATTTATTTAGTTGTCGTTTTATTTGACTGGGTGGTCCACCACAACTTCCGTTTAAAGTTCAACAAGCACGACAAATCAGATATGTCCCACTCCCTGGCACTCAGTTTGACGGGTATGAGATGGATTCACTCGTACACTGTGGGAATCTGCAAAGATCGAGGCCAGGACTGGTTGCCACCCGTTAGTTGCTAGTGCTCCGGCCGCTTACGAAAAGTTGCTTCACCTACCGCGCAGTCTGAAACGTACGGTGGATGCCGCAAGTAAAGCGACCACACCCAAGTACAAACCCATTGTGAGGCATCCACCATTGTTCGCCGCTCTGCGGAGGGGCATGCGGCATGCTCCAAGAAGTCTTTGACTGTCCACGAGTACTCTGGGATTCCGTTTCCTTCATCTGAAATCACTGGGCCGACTTTCGTCATGCGCACCCCTCTAAGCCCAAGTCTTGCAGCATGTATCGTGCCATTTTCCTCGGGAGGGTAAGTTCCAAGTAACAATAGCTTGGACAGTGCAGCCAACATTGGCATGAGCGAAACAGTGTCTGATACTCACCTGATAGTTGGCTTCCCCGTGGTTTGCACGCCATGGGTTGTGTTTCTAAATTTGTCGATGATTGGCGAGTGCGTCTCGATGCGGTTCAGCCACTATTTCCTTCACAAATATCCAATTCCCGGCAAATGGATTCCGGGTTTTACAAAGAATGGCTTGTACCAAATATACATCATACTGTTGCATACTGTGTATAATAAAAACTGCAATCTAACCTAGGTGTTTTCGTGTAGACTCCCGGATTTGCAAATCGTTCCAGACTGGTAGTTCTACACTACTCCCGATGCCTTCGGCGCCCCCTTCGGTATTTGGATTCCTGGCGTCCATTTACGTAAGTCCACTGAAGAAAAAAACACATGTCCAGTAGTGATAGATTCCTTTTAACGCCAACAGCGGGATATAAAACATATTCATTTCAGCAAATGGAATCTGGCTTTAAGTCTGGGTCCATTGGCACCGAGCCGCGAAGTAGTAGGTGGCTTTGTGGTACCGGAAGGCGTCCAAGAAGCTCGCCTTGCCCTGGCCGAGACAACAAGGCGGACGTCGAACGAGGCCTTGGGCTCTTTGCGTTGTTTTTTCCCCCAACAGCTGACATGACTTTTGTTAGCTTGCTCATTGGATGGCCCTGAACATGAACTTCTCGCCAGCATGAAATCAGGGACTAGAACCTGCATCATGGCTAGGGTTGCCGGGTTGCTATGATTTGTCCAGTCTCAGAGACCAAGGTGCTGGCTGACTAATGCCCGAGGGTTCCACATTCTCGAGGCGCGGGGTGACCTTGTTGGAGGGTCACCAGAGTGGCAACCAGACCATACCCGTGGTTTCAATCAGCTCCCAGCTACTTCTCCAAATCCTGCCCAACTGGTTTCCCCCTTCGCCCAAGTCCCACTCCACTTCAAGTCTTGGATGGGCCATCCGGACTCACCCATTGGAAGAGGGTAGCTGTGAAAGCGCCTTAGGGTACCAACAGCCTTAACGCACGGCGAAAACAGGGTTGGCTGCTCTGATATGTTCAACAACTTCTTTGTTCAACAGACAAAATCAACTGCATCCAAACCGTTGAACTCCCATTCTGACTGGGACCACTATCAAAGTCAGCAACCAACGGCTCAGCAAGTCGGGAGGAGGCCGCTTCTCCTGGCTGAGCCTGGGTTGGTCCTTGCAAGAAGTCAAACTGATTGCAGCACGGCGGGTTTGTCACCAAGTGCGGGGTGCTCGCCAAGGAAAATGGATGGCTCCGCGTTTAGTCCCCCTTTCAAACACACCAAGGGCACGAAATCCCGCTCTCCCCCTAACTCTCCCGCTTAAGCATTGCCACAAGTCACTTTCAGCCAGCAACTCTTGCCAGATCCTTCGCCTCAAAAAAAAGTGAGAAACTACAGTTGAGGAAGTGCACAACACCAACACCAACTCCTCCCCCCCCCCCCGGGTTCGGAGCTCTCAACAAAAAAAAAGGGCGCCTCTTGGGCCGCGATGGGGCTGCTGAAGGGCAGCAACGCCACCAGCCGCTCCGAGGGGTCGCAGGCCCTGCGCTCACGAGGTGCCATGAGCTGGTCGGGTCGGGGTGTACCCTCCCTCCAATCATGGAAGTTGACAGGGGAGCTTTGGACGATTTTCCTGTTGGAACCCCTTTGTGCACTTCCATGATTGTTGGAAAGAGGGTAAGGGGGAATGCCGGGTTCTCTGCAGAAAGCGCAAGGGACCCTTAGCCTTGGGGCCTAGATGAGCTAGATGAGCTAGATGAGCTCCTCATGGCAGAATGGCAGTTGCGACGTCAGGGATTGAAAACATACGGGTGAAGTGTGCGAGATGTTGAGCGCGCGCCACGCAGCCGCCCGGGGAATCTTAAAAGACCACGGTTGCGTGCGGCTGGCTGCCTGGCGGCGTTGCAAGTTCTGGGCGGGTCTGCATGTGAGGAATGTCCAGCCCATCCAAACGGAAATGGAGCGGTTGTGGCATAGAGTGCGACAGAGAGCGCACACAGGTGCAGAAGCAGCTGAGGAACGTCCAGCTGATTCAAGCGACGCATCCTCGAGCTTTTGCTGCGGTATTGGAATCCGGAGCTGGTGTGACGTGGGGTCATCCGGACAAAGGCGGGGGGAGCAGTCCGATGCAAGATCAGCTGAATGTGCAGCACATCCAAGCAACTGACTTCGGCGTTAGTGCCTTTGCTGCCAATCTGGACTCTGCAGCGGTTGCAACATGGAGTGATCCAGGTTATGGCGGAGACAGCAGCCAGGTGCAATTGCAGCTGGTGAATGTTCAACACATCCAAGCAACTACTCGTGCTTTTGCTGCCATTTGCTTCAGTGCGGATGCAGTCTGCAAAGGCGTTGCATTCAGCCTGTTTGCGTTCTGATGCCAAAGCAATGAGTGCAGTGTGCTTTCGGACTCAAACTGTAACTTCTTTCCTTGACACCTTACCATTGAACAGGGTGGGTCATGATCAAAACTTGGTACAAACATGGTGAACCCAGGAGCTGAAAAAGGCGGATATCCGCACCCATTTCTGGCTGGGATTGCCCCGCCCACCAACCGTCATTTACCCGAGTCAGGGTCACGTCCACGCCTCAGGAGCACTGCGAACAGGCACAGGAACAGCTGTATGCAAACGGCAGCCAGGAAGAAGTGGCCCGCCTGGACACAAAACGGGCCGTCGCCAAGAGAAATCGGGTCATACTGAGCCATATCCTCCAATAGAGAGGTTAGAAAAAGGGTACCCTTTTTTTCTGTATACTATTGTAGTAGGGGAACCCTCCCCCAAAAAAGAAACGGTACAAGGGGGCCTAGAAGGTCTTTGGGGCTTAAAAATGCCAGACCCCTAGCAAACACAACTTGCGCCGGCCTCACAAGAGCCAACTTTGAGGGACCCATTTGAATCCATGAGGCCCACAGGCACGGATCTGGAAGCGAAAAGCAGATGAATCCGGGTGGTGCGACCCAAAACCTCAAACTACCCACAGAAAAACACATCTCGCCCCGTAATTGTAGGGCAGTAACCCCCCACCAATTTTGAGGGGATTGTATGGGTTGAGGTACCCTGGAAAGGTTGTTTTACAGGGAAGCCAAACGGAACACCGCCCTCTGTGGGGCTCCATGAATCAACCGGATTTTCCCAAGAACTCCATCTGTGACGATCGTCGCGTCTTTCGAAAACGGGTTGCTCCGAGCCCAAGATTGCGATCACCTCCTGTAGCTTTGACGGAGCCATTTTCGGAAGGTCTAAGGGGCCTGGGTCTCAAGACTACGGAAGGAGATGTGGAATTTGCGGTGGCAAGCTTCTTCCCGGCCTTTCACAAACGCATGGAACCTCCTGCCATACAGAATTGGAAGGGCCCCAAGAGTTCAAGGGGTCGAACAACCCTCTCAGCAACAACACGAGACTTCAAGGGCTTGATTCCTTGTCCATTCTTTTCAACCATCGTTCTTTCCTTCAAAACCGGATCCGATTTTTGTTTCTTCTTCTTTTTTTTTCTGGGTGTCCGGAGGATTTCTAGAAGGATCCCTGGAAAGAATGGACATGGAAGGCACCCCTAGACTGCGCTCTTGGAGCTGGCCAAGGGTCGGTGACCATACCCCCCAAGCCAAATACCTGTTTTTTTCAGGGTATGATGTCGACTCTCTACTAAAAAAGGAGGTATTTACCATGGAAACCCAGGTTTTCCCAAAAAATACCCTGAAAAAAAGTGGGTAGAGGGAGTAGGGGGTACTCACCAAGCCAAAAACTTTGTTTTGAACCAAAGCGAATCGGTCGACTTTTGCTTTGGAGGCGTATGGCTTGGCCAGGTCCGAAAGAAACGATGCCGAACACCCCATGTGGGGTGTCCCGGAATTCGGACACCTGCTTGCACGGCTTGAAAGGGAGACCAGGAAAGAACCACCATATAAATCAATACAGAAGGGGGCGGAGATTTTCAGTCAGTGACAATTCCCTCTGGCCTCCCTGATCTTGCAGGGGCAACCTCCAATTCTGGGGCTTGGCGCAGAATGCACACGCATAGCGCACATTGCAACTGTTGGTCGCTGCAACCATCTTCTGCCCTTGGGATAGACAGGGATCCTGACATTATACACCTGAACATTGCCTTGTAAATAGTGGTTTCCCTTGATTTTGGTGGAAAAAGCCATGTTTTAAATGGGCAAAATGGAGATCTTTTAAGGAGCCCTGACTGCTCGGCTTCGGCTTCTTGGGACGGGCCGAGATGCGAGCGCCTCTCAAAATGGAACCCGTGGCCATTTCGGAGCGCTTACCTAGGGCTGGTTTTGCCCAAGTCTGGGCTCTTTGGCCAATCACCTGGTGAGATTCGTTCACACCCTCGCCAAGGAAGATACCCAGAAGCACAAAGGATGGTTGAGGCGGCCAAGAACGCAGGCTTAAGTTGGGGCACTTCCAAAAAGAAACATAAGCAGAGGTTTGAGACCTCACTTGGGGAAACCACTACAGACCTAACAAATTACCCCTCAAAAGTGATTCCTCGTAAAAGGATGCTGTTGAGGTTCCATGCCAATCTATGCAGAAAGGAAGCCTCAAGCCTTTCACAACCCGCAAGGATTGGATCATAGAATCTACCCTTGGTTTCCTTTAGGAATTGGTCTCCAAAATGTAAACTTCGACATAAACCTCGGAGAAACCACATTCCCCATCATGTGTTCGCGCACGACGCCCACGCGGGAATGTAAAACAAAAAAAACTAACATGGCTTCAGTTGTCCTTTTGGATTCCCTTCAAAGCAGACTTAAGAAGGGTGCCCTCAAACAAACTAGCCACCCACTTTTCCTTCCTTACCGCCCTTGAAAGGTTACCCTCAAAAACGAGCGACACCCCCAACCCCCCAGTGGCCCATTGGGAAAAGGGCACTGTTTTGTATCCCGTGCTTGGTATTTGTTGATGCGAAACCCTCCACAGAAAAGGAGAAACAACAACACCGTTGGTTGGAGGTCTAGCTCGCTGTTAGTGGGGGCGACCCTGGTGCCAGGTGGCGCTTTGAAAGGGTAATTATAACCCATGCGGTTCTCATTTTGACCACCTCGCTTTTGAGGTGTCCATGAAGGGCTCTTTTGTGTTTCAACATTTCCGTGGGTCTTTGACCAACATTCAGCCACAAACCGAATTGCCACTGGTGCAATGAAACCTCCCTTGTCTTTGATCCCATTCTTCTTTCCCCTTTGTTCTTCTGTAAAGAAACCAAACCAAAAAATGAAAACACGATTCTTCTTTCCTCCTGCTTTTTGGGCTAAGAAAACCAAACCCAAACACAAAAAGACCGCCTCCCCCTCAAAAAAAAAAAAAACCTCCAACTCCCCGGCGTCAAGGCGCGGCTTGGCGCAGCACCGCGCGGCGCTTCTCCCGGAGGTCGCGCTGCAGCTCCGTGGGCGCGCGCTGCAGCGCCAGGAGGTACGCCTCGCTGGGGGAAACTTCGGCAGCCGAAAGGGGGGACGCCAGGGCCAAAAAAACCCGCCTCAGCCTCGCAAAAG